CAAATCCGACCCCGGCTGCCGAGTGAAGGTAGCCAGGTGTCGACCCGTGTGGGCCACGTGCAGTGTGTCACATGCTCGTAGGCAGGGGTGAACTGGTGAACACCCGCATCCTGGAGCGCGGAACCCGCCACCAAGTTCGTAGAGAACGAGGGGAGGTGAAGGCCTGATAGGGTGCCGGACGGGACAGTAGGACAAGGGAGGGCAGTGGTGGAGGTCGCAAGGATCGAACCCCCGGAGGGGTCAGCCAGGGAGACAGCAACCGGCCTAGGGAGCTGCTTGAGGGCAGTGCGGTCGCGAAAGAAACAGCGAGAGGCACCAGAGTCCAGTGTGAAGGTGTGCAGTGCCTCAGTAGACGCAGTACCTGAAAGCGCAGACTTACAAGTACCTGAAGTAGTAGACACACCTGCACCTAGAGCAACAGCCTCACCAGGACCAGGGGCAGCAGACACACTAGCACCTAGAGCGGCAGCCTCACAGGTCGCAATGCCTGGGTCTGGTTGAACATACAAGTAACAGTCACCCTCAACACTAATAGTCAATGCATACAGGGCTCCAAGGATAACATCAAAGTCAAGTGCAAAGACATCAATGTTCTTTTTAAGCAGATCAGCCCAGCGGGGCAGCTTAGAGGCCTCAGGGAACTGTGCACGCCAGGCGTTGTCGAGACGGAAGAAGCAGCGCTGTGGCGTGTGGAACCTCCCACAAGTCTCACTAGCGCGGTCACCTATGCGGATGACATACGTGCAGGTACCCCCGCCCCCAGACCCCCTATGCTGAGAGTACCACTCGGTATCTCCAAGACGCTGCTGCTGGCGCTGGACACCACCCGAGCCTCCACGCTGCGCCGGTCCACCCCGACCACCACCCGAGTCGCCACCCCCACGCCCACTGCCTCCACCACCACCACCTCCACCCCGGCCTCCTCCACCACCACTGCCGCCACCACCCCCGTCGCTGCCACCCACCTCCCCAGCCCCGCTACCACCCCCACTACAACCACCACCCCCACCGCCCCCACCGCCGCCACCTCCACCTCCACCTCCCCTGCTAGCACCACCACCACCCTTGCCCCCCTTGCCCTTGCGGCCCTTGCGCCTCCAGCTAGGAGCAGACGCAGCCCCGACTTCCTCAGCACCAAGGAAGTCGACAGCGGCAGCAGAGGCAAGCGAGGGGAGAAGGGGGGGAGGGGAACACCCGTCAAAGAAGGGCGTGCGGGGGTCGCCACGAGAGGCACCTACAGCAACTATGCTAGACTTAGCTGCAAGCAGATGCTTCTCGAGGAGGTCAATGGTGAGCTCGGCGGGGCAGAGGGTGAGAAAGTGGTCCCTGACTGCGCGAAGTGAGTCAGTGAGACGAGTAACTAGGTGGTAGAGAACGAGGTACATCGGGGGGATTCTTGGCGAGGAACTTAGCAGGAAGGGTGGCTCGGTAGCGAGTGTTATAGTTTGGAGGTGGGTAATGAGGTGAGCGACTGTAGGAAAGGCGGCGAGATCGGGGAAAAGATAGGGCAGCGAGAGACGACCTATCGTAGCAGAGGCAGGTGAGGAGTAGCAAGCGACGACTGCATCGTACAGTGCCTTAGCAGTCTTATGCTGGCCGAAGTGTGCGCGCGCATCTAACGGCAGGTGGCTGCGAATGGCTAGGCGAGCGTGGGCATCACGAGTCTGCCACTGGGAGCGAGCGGTACTGTCAGCAGTGTTAGCAGGTACTAGAGCGGTTCCGGACGCGTGGTCATAAAGTGAGACATCGTCCTTAGCGGTGTTCTCTAGTCGCGTGGGCGGCCTACAGTCGTGGCGCGCGCGGTTCGGGCCTCGCACGGGTGGCTAACGGGCGGGGCGCGCTAGAGAAAACAGGCCGCGCGCGGGCGGCTAGCGAGCTGCGCACGGGCAGCGTGTAAGAGAGAGGCGCACTAGGAGAGAGGCGCATGAGGGCGTGACGGCGAGAAGGCGCTACTAGCGGAAGCGGTCCTAGGTTCCTAAACTAGGCTCGTAATACCATGTTAGAATGAGAGAAGTGATTGCACTAGGAAGATTGAGAGTACAAGTAGGAAAACCTAGAATTGCGTACCCCCTTAGGCTAAACCCACTATAGCCTACAGAACTATAACGTATATAATGTTTGACACATATCAGCCCTCGGATTGGAGATTTCGACTGTCAGGATTCGCCGACATCCGCCGACATCCATCTACGTTTCACTTCGGACACCCCCTTACAACTAGTTGGACACACCTTCTAACTTCTGGTTTATGTGAAGCTTTTTCACTGGACGTCTGAAGTGGCATCGGGGAATCTGAACGTCTGAAGTGGCGCACGTGACGTTAGCACCACGTAAGGGTGCATGTAAGACCCCATGTTATTCGCGGACCTGATTAGACGCTACTCAAGCGTGTCAAACCACGAGCGGCAGCATTGTTGTGGAGACCATGGTGACTCGGATACAGAAGTTTCGGTTGTTGGAAGCGATCATATCGTGTTTCTGACATGGTTGATAGTAGTTCCTTTTGTGTGCCCGTTTTAGGCATGTTTGAAATGAGCGTGTACATAATGAGCGTGTGGCTGAAAATGCAAGACATTAGCCTTTAGGACACTCATTTCAACATTTACTGTCTCGAAAAACGAAAGTTTAACGGGCTGTTCGTTGAAGACCTTGTCGCCCGCAATTTACATCAGAGAGCAGGCTCGATGATTGTCATGTCATGTTGTGAGTTTCTCGCGTGGCAGTCCCACGTGATCTGCTGTGTTTAGTTTCCACGTGGCAATCAAGTATTAGATGTCCGGAACCAAACGTCTCCACAACGTCCTTTTGATTCCCTTTTCCTGGCTGATTTCACGCCTCCTGGCGCCGACGCTCCGAATGCAGAAGAAATCGCGAATTCCTAGATCCGCAATTGGTTGCTGTGGATAAAGCGGACACGTGCCAGACGAAGCATTTCACAGCTTGTCACTGTTTATTCCCACTCGGCTCATCATTTCAGCAGCTCACTCCCAATACTCCCTTGAAGCTGGCCAAATTCCATTCAGTCTACAAAAATGACATCACACTTTTCCACTGTATTGTGCCGTGGACAACTTCTGGTTCGTTGAAGTACGATGCAGCGTGGTACTTCGTGCTTTGTGTTACCCGACCAGCTTTCCCTCATCACTCGTGCCTTCAAGAGCACCACCGAAACATCATTTTCAGCAGCGTCCTCTTGCTTTTCTCTCACCGTTTCCAGTTCCATTTCACACTCCCTCTGCTCGCTGGTGTCGTGCGCTAATGGCTGCCTGCTACCTCTACAGTCCCGCCCAGCCGGTTATGGCGATCACAGCCAGCAGAGCCCAATGGACGCTCTCACCCGTTTTCGCCTCTGCACAAGGCTCCTCCCACCCGCACTCCCAATCCGCGCAACATCTCCCTGCATTCTCCCCGCCTTCCACCACCACCACCCGACTCGTCTCCCCTCCGGCTAAATCTGCTGCGCTAACATCGGAATCGACGCCGAACCGCCACGCCTCAACAGTGCCTCACGCCGCCTCCGCCGGACCCGCTGTTCTCGCACCTCCCAGCGACATTAACGCCGACCGTGCTCCAGACTCCTTCACCCAGCTCGTGCACGATGAGCCGAAAGCACAAGCCGTGCAATTCTTCTCCCCAGCCACGGATATCACCGAGGATGACGACGCCGCCGCCGCCGCCGTTGCGGCCGCTACTTTGTCGATCGCGCGAGTCTCCGGGACTCCTGAATCCGCGCCTTACGCCTTCGCGTCCCTTCCGCCCACGCCCGTCTTCCCCTCCGCCCACGCGATGTCCGCCTTCCTCTCCGCCTTCGCCAACGTCCTGCAGAACGTCCCTCGGCGCGGTCGTCTTTCGCAGAATCTCCCTAGCGCCAGCCAAACCTCGTCGGCGGGCTCGTTGTCCGGCGCTGAGCAGACTACCGCCGCTGTCACCGTATCGGGGGCTAGCCTGGCGGCGGCTGGAGCTGCAGTAGTGGAGAGGGCGCGGATTGGGTTGGTGGCGATGATGGGTCATCCCACACGAGTAAGTTGCCTTTCATAAGCGAATTGCGTGGTGCATAAGTATGCCGGCAAGTGTCTCTCTGAGGCCACACTTGTCATGGGATGCATCATCCTTGCACGCCTTGCAGGCATCATCACTAAATATTTCTTCCTCTCGACCCCCAACTAATACTCTTGTCTTCTTTCGTCGTGCTTCCCTGTCAGGGCGTGCGCGGAGGGACTGCATGGCTGGAGCGCAAGGCAGCTGCGGAGCTGTGCCTCGAGGAGCTGGAAAGGGACTTGGTTATGCTCCGCTCCTCGCGCCATGATCTCCCTTCTTCCACTGTCGTCCGCCTCGCCACTCTTCATTGCGTGGATGCTGCTCGAATCATCAGATCATTGTGACGAACTTCGAAGGATTCTTCTTCGTCTAGTGTGTATATATATCTGCGTTATCGCTTGCTGCGATTTGTTTGTTTGCTCGGCAAAGTGGTTGTGCCGTAGTCTCCATGAGTTTCCACGAGCAAATTCATATGCGTTTAATGTTTGAGGTTGTATTGCAAGCTTTTTGTAATGCCTTTCAATCCCTCAATGATTTTCTTCTCTTTGTGAGATCAGTAGTCCTAAATGGTTCAGATATATTGGGATGATTGCATAAAGTAAACGAAGTGATGGATTATACCGAGCCTTCATGTATCAGGGAAGTGATCTTCTTGGCGATGATTAACTGGAACCAACTTCAGGACACTGGGCCGGTAGATCTTGTTTGGGGAATGTAGTGTAACTGGACATGAATCTAACTAGAGCAAGACGACGTGCACTCTAGGTTTCTCACTCTCAAGAGTCAATCCACCAGCCTCAACATTCAAGCATGAACTGAAACCGACTACAGCGAGCCGGCCCAATGAGTGTCGTGAGCAGATGAGCTTTGACTAACGTGATAAGAGTGTTGCACACAATGGTGCAGTTTGCCTAGTGTAGCCCACCCTCACCCGTATCTAAGATTCTACAGCCAACTGACAGCTAGTCAGTATTGGTGGTAACTACACAGTTGCCGAATTGGCTTACAGCAGCAACGTCTTCTTTCTGCTGTAAAAACACATTGCTCTGGGCACTCAGGCGAGTATCCCTGTCTCTGGAAAGGGCTTCAGGCCACCCACACTTGAGCATAGCCTTATGTGTCAGACCGTGAAAGCCATGGTCACGCAAAAAGTAGTTTAAAAACTATTGTAATGACGTTCAAACCTATCAAAGGCACTGCAGGAAGCAAAGGTGAGGGCAGGCAAGGTGCAGAAAGATTAGACTCACAAATCAAAACGGATCACAAATCCGGCCCACAGAGGAGTCAAAATCGACCACAATGTCAGGGAGTTTGCAGATCCATATACAAAGAACGACTGGCGGTACGAACCAAGACACGGACTGGTGACATACTACAGGTAAGCGAATAGCAGCGACCAGGAGAAGGATCGCAGCACAATTGCCTACCTCGTAGGTATTGCACTGCATGAAGTAGTCCGATAATCTGCGCTTTCAAAGGGGATATTCTGCCACTGGACATCTCCTGGAAACCCCAGCCGTCTGAAAGCAACAGAGAAGATAGCATCAAAGAAAGCTCTTCCATTACAAAGCTGATTTCACCAGCGTTCGTCTGGCAATTATGATTCAAAGCGTCGATGTGGTAAATTAGGTCAGGTCGTGTACGGGCGAGGAAAATTTACAGATTTAAGACACAAAACAGTCGTCTTACAAGGAACTAGAAAGCGCTCTTCATTAAGGATTGCCAGAGAGTTAACGATAAGTAATACGGCTTGCAAGAATCCCCACATCGCGACTCCTGAATGCGTTACGAAAACGATATATCCACAAGCAAGATTGCACACATTACTACACTAGATGTATGGGTGAAGTCTGTTTCCTTAGGTCCCTAAGGATGGGCGGGGAGGAGGGCTTCCGAGCAATTGGAAAAAGTTGGGTGGAGAAAACATGCATCACAACTTGGTGGGCAACCACGTAGCCTGACACAGGTTGTCACGCAGGATCAACCAACATTTGAAGTTGCCCGCGATGCCAAAATTGGTGGTGAAGCAACATGCGAGCCTCAGATGCTTCCTGCGATAAAAGTTTCGTACCTGACCTGGCGCGCTCTGATTTGCTTTCGATGGAACTGTGTCCGACAGACAAACTTTTGGCGGGGTGCTGTTGGACTTCGCCTTTCGCACAACGACTCCACCAAATCTCTGACAGGTTCGGCTTGGCTTCAGACCTGGTGACGTGCTATGGGGAAATTTGGGGTTTCCCTTGTGTTCATATTTTACTGTTGGATTTAGTTCGTTTCTCTATCGTTCTCCATTCTCCTTCAGTCGCCGTGAGCCCACCTTTTGTCCAGGCGTCATGTCTCTCCGTCCTAGTGCTCGTACCGAGGCCAGGAAGTCGGCGTACAAGCAGGCGGTTAGCGCTGATGAGGCGCGTAGGCGCCGTGAGGACAACATGGTGGAGATTCGGAAGAGTAAGAGGGAGGAGAGCTTGCTGAAGAAGCGCAAGGAGGGGATGCAAGCAGTAATAGATCTTCCCAAGATTCCTGTTGCTACGGTCGAGAAGAAGGTACATCGCGTACACGTCAAATTTTTCCTTCATTGACTTTTTTTTAAAACTCTAAATAGGTCGTGTAAAACTATTCCAGCGTCCAATGGTGACACGTTTTTCTGTTCGCTGAGTCACAGCTTGAAAGCCTTCCTGCCATGGTTCAAGGCGTGTGGTCAGAGGATCCGCAAACGCAGGTCGAAGCAACCACACAGTTTCGGAAGCTGTTATCGATTGGTAAGTCCTGCCAGTCCCGTATTTTTTTCCTAGTTTCTCGCGGTGACATCAGTTCCTGTGTATAACTCGTGCTACTTGAAATGTGCACAGAACGTAGTCCCCCAATCGAGGAAGTCATCAAAGCCGGGGTCGTCCCTCGGTTCACGCAGTTTTTGCAGAATTACGAACTTCCACAGCTTCAGGTTTGTCTACTCCACCATTGCTGAGTTCGTTTGTTTCTGGCCCATGCCGCCTTCTCACCTTTATTTCATCGTCGTGTCACAGTTTGAAGCTGCGTGGGCCTTGACCAATATTGCCTCCGGTACTTCAGACCACACCCGTGTGGTGATTGAGCACGGCGCAGTTCCTATCTTCGTCCAGCTTCTCAGTTCGCCCAGCGATGATGTTCGGGAGCAGGTATGTTTTGTTCAGTATCTCTTTTGGATGTACCAACGTGTTCCCCGATACACTAAAGTTTGACATACTTCCCTGTATGCAGGCTGTCTGGGCTCTGGGGAACATCGCGGGAGACTCCCCCAAGTGCAGAGATTTGGTTCTTAGCCACAACGCTATGGGTCCGCTCCTCGCGCAATTGAACGAGAACTCGAAGCTTTCCATGCTTCGCAACGCGACGTGGACCCTTTCGAACTTCTGCCGCGGAAAGCCCCAGCCTCCTTTTGAACAGGTATGGCAAGGTGCAGCCTGCGATTCGTAACTTCTTAGTAGCTTCGAGACACTAACACTGAAATCTGTGCGTGCAGTCCAAACCTGCTCTGCCCGCTCTTGAGCGGCTTATTCACTCCACCGACGAGGAGGTCTTAACGGATGCCTGTTGGGCTTTGTCATACCTATCGGATGGCACCAATGACAAGATTCAGGCAGTCATAGAGGCTAATGTGTGCCGAAGGCTGGTTGAGCTTCTCTTGTAAGAATGATTCATTTGTTCGGTATCTGTTTTATCGTCACCCTTTCCACCGTTTTCACTGGTGTGAAACGCGTCCTCTACAGGCATCCTTCGCCTTCCGTCCTCATCCCTGCCCTTCGTACCGTGGGCAACATCGTCACCGGGGACGATGATCAGACACAGGTGCGGTTCTTCGGTTCTGTACTTCAGATGGTGGTGCTGTCGCTTGTTTTCTAAAAGCTCTACATCGAATGTTTCACAGGTCATCATCAACAACAATGCCTTGCCATGCCTGCTAGCCCTCTTGACCACCAACCATAAGAAGAGCATTAAGAAAGAGGCCTGTTGGACAATCTCCAACATTACTGCTGGGAACAAGGAACAGATTCAGGTAATGACTTTGTACGAGAATGCGTTGTGAGACTTCGGTAAGCGACAGATTCACACAAGGCGAGTGACTGTGCAGGCTGTTATTGACGCCAACATAATCCCTCCTCTCCGGCATTTGCTTGAGACTGCTGAGTTCGACATCAAGAAGGAGGCTGCTTGGGCGATCTCCAATGCTACTTCAGGCGGTACACATGATCAAATCAAGTAAGTGCTTTCCTTTCGGAAGGGGACAAGTAGTGTGTTTCTGTGTGTGCTACTTGCTAAACGACTTTGTTTGTGTGCGTTTAGGTATCTGGTCTCCCAAGGCTGCATTAAGCCCCTGTGCGACCTGCTGTTGACGTCGGATGCAAGGATTGTTACGGTGGCGCTTGAGGGGTTGGAGAACATTCTTAAGGTCGGGGAAGCTGAGAAGGAGCTGGGTCACACAGGAGGGATTAACCTGTACGCCCAGTACATTGATGAAGCAGAAGGTTTGGAGAAGATTGAGAACCTCCAGACGCATCAGAACAACGACATTTATGAAAAGGCTGTCAAGATCCTGGAGACGTACTTCGGCCTGGATGAGGATGAGGATCAGCAGCTGGCACCACAAGTAGATGCCAATCAGCAGACATATGCCTTCGGAGAAAGTCAGCCCATGGTCCCCAGTGGCGGATTCAACTTTGGTTGAGTCCAGTGCCAGCACTTGTGCTGATAGAAGACTTTGCCGAGCGCCATGTGAGGTCGGTCATTGGTCACCCATGCAGTGTTGGTGCATTCGTATGTCGTCCTGTGTGGTCATTTGTCGAGTGCAGTCCATGCGTCTGTCAGTGGTGTTTTGTCGTCATCATTTCCTGGCTCACAGCCAGGCACTCACCTGTGTAACATCATATCCATCCTTAGTTTATGATGCTGTCGTGAAGTGTTGTCTTGCTGCACTCTCCACAGCAAGTTAAGTTGATAGTTGATGTCGTACTATGGTGTCTGGTCTGTCAGGTTCATAGGTATTCTAGGTCACAACGCCGATTTCTAGCCAGTCCTAATGTTTGTACGGTAACGTTGATGTCTTAGTTGTCATAATATGGTATTCCACCTTAGGTCACCTACATCAGCCATGAGTTGAGTTTTCACTATTATTCGTTTTTTTTTAGAGCACTCAATAGTAGCTGCTTACGTAACCAACAAGCAGTTGGATTTTGTACAGGGTACGGTCTCGAGGAAGAGTGGACAGGCGTTGTTCCCATACCAGCCAGTTGCCACGTAACCCTCAACACCTTATAAGCAAAATTAGCAATCAGGCATTGGACTTCAGCCAAGTACAACCAAATCGTCCAGAATTAGCAATCAGGCATTTGCCCAGCTGTTCGGTTTCTCTCGCCGCCAACCGTGTGATGTTGCTGACCTGTCCAAAATCCCACCGCGGACCCCCCGTGTTTCCCGCTTGCCACACTCCCCGCGTTCTACGCAGCGACTGTGAGTGAGTGACCCTCATCTTCAATCTCCGCGCTTCCAATCTACCTGCCGCAGTGCCGCCCCCAACATCTCAGGCCCGAACCAAACCCCCGTGCCTGCTGGTTATGTGTGTGCTCCTCCTACCTAGCCTTTCCCCCCCAAGCCAACCAAGCGTCAAATGAGCTACCATCGTATTTTCTGACTTGTTCGACCTCGCTTATTGTGGGACTTCCCAAATAAGATTTCACGCATGCCGCCGAACTAGTTTGGTGCCGTCTTTTATTTTGCGTTCGAGTAGGGTCGTAAGGTTCATACGTCAGCCTAGCTGCGCGATGTCTTCCGCGTTGCATGTGCTTCGTCACGGACCTCTTTGGTTCAATGATTCTGACCTGCACCACACCCTAATCCAGGTTGCCTTTGGCCCACGATATTTGTTAATCAGTGCAATGTCTCCACGTTCTTAACTTGGCGCCTGCCTTGCAAATCAAGAACCAAGTCCGTCGTTTTGTACCCTTTTCTTTCCCGTCTCTACAGAATTATGCAATCCACGCAAATGTTGCTGGTCAGCATTCCAGCCGCAGTGCTTTTGAAAATTGAACTGTCAGAATGAACCGGATCAGTTCCAGCCCTACAAATCGGACGCCGTAATTTCTTACCAGCCGTCATCTCGGCTCCTACTTCCTCAACCTATCCACTTCTCCACAAGCCGCTCGACCTTCCAATAGTTTCGTTTTCGCGTCGCCACTTCATGAGTGTACAAGCACCCTAGGCAGCCCTCCTTCCGCATTGTGCTCTGCTCAGCTCACTTCGCGCTCCGTACTGTAATTGCCGAAACCGCATCAGTCTCTTTCCAGGGCCACTTCCGGTGGCTGTTTCTCTTGACCACTGTTTGCCCGAAACATCCTCTCTTACCGCATGGAGTTTCCAACTGACCGCCTATCACGCCGTTGTTTATAACACTGTAGCGTAACCATCCATACCTGACCGCGTGCTTTTTCGTGTTTCGCGCATCATCGTTTCCTTAGAGGCTCTTGTCGCCGCTCCGACAGCACGCGCTGTATCCCACCATCCTTCGACCCTCCGAACCATGTATTCTCCCGCTCGCGGCCTCGCATGGTAAAGCCGCGGCTTTGCGCGCCCCGCGACGAACGCGAAGCAGCAGCAGCGATACAGTAGCTTGTGGTTGCCGTTATACCCCCTCGCAACTGCCGCTGCTCTGGTTGCTGCTGCTGCTGCTGCCGCTGCCATGGCGCAGTCAGCAGCACCACCACCGCCCGCGCGCGTGGCAGTGGCGGACGCGGCGGCTGATCCTGCTCCTGCCTCCGCTCCTTCTGCTCCTGCTGCTTCTGCTGTCTCTGCTCCTGGTGCCTCAGTCCCGGCAGCTTCTGCATCAAATGCTGGTTCCGGTGCTGCAGAAGCGCCCAACCCTGCGGCTACTTCTGCGACTATCCGTGTTGCTGTTCCTGCTGTTGCTGCTGGTGCTGCTGTTGCTGCTGGTGCTGCTGTTCCTGCTGCTGCGGCTGCCGCTGAGCCGAAGTACACTCCCTTGGATCGCCTGTCCGTGCTGGTCGAGGCGGGGGATCCGCAGTTCCGTGGAGGCTTCACTCTGTGTTTCTGGATGCGCATAGCGCCCGAGTCTCCTAGTGGGGTGGTCATCCGACAGGTGAGTGAGCGGTTGCTGTGCTGTCTGCTGCCCATGAAGCTGACAGTGACAGAAGAACCGTCGCTCTGCGTTTCCCGTAGTTTCTGAGAGTTCAGAAGAATGATTAAACTACCGCGTGATTCTGCTTCCCGCCCCCGGTGGATTCCCCCCATCGTTATCAGGGTCGACCCAATGCGCCAGCGACACTCCCCTTCCTCACGCTGGGTCCCGACCGGCGCCTCTCTTTGCATCCCCGGCCTCCTGCCGACCTGCTAGACGTGGCAGCCGCAGCAGCGTCACAGGGGGGTGGAGGGAAAAGGGATGTGGGAAAAGCGGACGCGGGGAAAGGGGACGCGGACGCGGGGAATGGGGACGCGGGGAAGGGGGGCGCAGGGAAGGAAGACGCGGGGAAGGGGGACGCGGGGGAGGGGGACGCGGGGAAGGGGGACGCTTGGAAGGGGGACGCGGGGAAGGGGAAAGGGATGGTGCTGACAGCGGACAGGGCGTGTGGTGAGGGGGAGTGGGTACACGTGGCATGTGAGGTGAGGAGGAAGAGAAGTGCTATGCCAATTCGAGCCTTTCCATCCCTTCTCCCCTCCCCATCCCGTCGCCCTCTGCTCTCTCCATTCCCACTCCATTCCCCTCATTGTTCCTCCCTCTTTTGCTCATTCCTCCCTTCATTCCTCGTCACAAGGAAACCGTTTTACTTGGAAAGTCATCGCTACCCCCATGAACACGAAGATTTTTTTTTTTTTTTTGGACCCATTCTACAGCGTATTCCTTCAGAAGTTGTCCCATTTCTTCTCCCTCCCCTCTCCCTTCCTTTCCCCACCTCCCACCGCCTACCCCATCCCACCTGCCCCTCTCTATCCACACCAGGTGCACCGGCATCCGCATGCAGCTCGCCTGTACATCAACCGTGCACAGGCAGCACAGCACACGGCTTCCTCCGCCCCTCTCCACGCCTCTGCACCTGCTGCAGAGACGGCCCCCCTGCTTCTTACAGGCGGTGATGGTCCAACAGGGGCCGGGGCAGTGGGGGGAGGAGGGGGAGGAGGAGGGGTGCACGCGCTCGTGCACCATGTGAAGCTGCTGCACACTGCAGATGTCGCCACTCATTATGCTGAGGTGGGCTGGGAGAGAGGGACGGGTAGATTTGGGGGGGGGGTTGAAGGGGAGGACTGGAGAAGGACAGCTGGGAGGGAAGAGAGAATGGAAGCAAAGAGGGGTGGGTGAAAGTGAAAGGTATATAACATGGTGGTCGTTTTCCAGTCTTGGACCACCTTTGGATACCTCTTATCGTCTGTTTTTGAGAATACAAAATATATATATATATATATATATATTAAAAAAAATCCAGTCTTGGACCTTGGTGTACCTCCTGACGTCTCGCTCTTTTAACCCAAATTCATCCCCGTTTCTCCTCTCCCTTCATCCCCTCCTCTCTCCTGATCCTCTCCCCTCCCCCACCCCATTCACCCCCACCCATTCCTCCTTCCCGCTCTTTCCCTCGCCTTTCTCTCCGTTTCTTCTATCTCTCTTGTCGCCCTCCGGCCCCAATCACAGAACCCTCCAGTGGAGCATGCTGCAGTACGCCCTCGGTCTGCCTCTGCGGCAGCTAAAACTGGCAGTGCTGCAGCTGGCAATACCGGGACAAGCAGTGCTGCCAAGGCACAACAGGCCTCTTCACCATCTGCTCCAGCTCCTGCTCCAGCTCCAGCTCCAGCTCCTGCTCCAGCTCCTGCTCCTGCTCCTGCTCCTGCTCCTGCCACTGCTCCTGCCACTGCTCCTGCCACTGCTCCTGCCACTGCTCCTGCCACTGCTCCTGCCACTGCTCCTGCCACTGCTACTGCTCCTGCCACTGCTCCTGCCACTGCTCCTTCCACTGCTCCTGCCACTGCTACTCCTCCTGCCACTGCCCCCGCCCCTGCCCGTGCTTCTGGAACGCCCTCTGCCTCTGCTCCTGCTTCGGCCTCTAACGTGGTTCCATCTGCCGCTCCCTCTGCTGCTCCCTCTGCTGCTCCCTCTGCCGCTCCCTCTGCTGCTCCCTCTGCCGCTCCCTCTGCTGTTCCCTCTGCTGCTCCCTCGGCTGCTCCCTCTGCTGCTCCCTCTGCTGTTCCCTCTGCTACTCCCCCTGCTGCTCCAGCTTTGGCTACTCCCCCTGCTGTTCCCTCTGCTACTCCCCCTGCTGCTCCAGCTTTGGCTACTCCCCCTGCTGCTGCCGCTGCTGCTCCAACCTCTGCTAGCGCCTCAGTGGTGCCTGTGCCTCCAGTGGCCTCTGGCACAAGCGCTGCTTCCAAGACAGCCCTCAAAACAGCAGCACCAGCAGCTACAGATGTGGCACCAGCAGCTACAGATGTGGCACCAGCAGCTACAGATGTGGCACCAGCAGCTACAGATGTGGCACCAGCAGGGGTAGAAACTGCTAGGGCCGGAGCAGCAGCAGCAACAGGAGCAGTGGAAATAACAGGCACGAAGGAAGGCTCGGCGAGCACAGGAAAGGCACCTGCAGCAGCAGGTTCTGCTCTCGTGGGAACTGCAAGTGTGGGTGCAGTGGAGTCGAATAAGGATGGAGCAGGGAAGTCAAATGAGGCTGGTGCAGCGGCGTTGAGAAAGAATGGAGCAGCAGCGGGTGCAGCAGGGCAAGCAGAGCGTGCTGTAGTAGGTGGTGGTTTAGGGGCACAAGCAAGAACAGCAGCAATAGCGGCTCGTGGAGGAGCGGTGATGGTGACTGAAAATGAACCACCAAAGGCTGCACCGCCTGGAGCACCATCAGTTGCACCATCAGCTGCACCAGCAGTCGCACCACCAGCAGTTCCATCAAAAGAAGCATCAACAGGACCACGAGCAGTGCTGCCAACAGCACCAGCAGCAGAACCATCAAAATCACCAGCAGCAGCACAGTCAGCAGCGCCAGCAGCAGCAGTAGCAGCAGCAACAGCAGCAACAGCACCACCAGAAACAGGACCAGCAGCAGCACCACCAACAGTAGCACTCGCAGCAGCACCAACAGCAGCAGCAGCACTGGCAGCGCTGCCTACAGCACCGTCAGCAGCACCATCAAAGCCACCAGCAGCACCATCAAAGCCACCAGCAGCACCGTCAGCAGCAACATCAAAGCCCCCAGCAGCACCGTCAGCAGTAACATCAGCAGCACCATCAAAGGCACCAGCAGCACCATCAAAAGCACCAGCAGCACCATCAAAAGCACCAGCAGCACCATCTAAAGCACCAACAGCACCAGCAGTAACAGCAGCTGCAGCAGTGGCGGCACCACCAGCACCAGCAGTAGCAACATCACCACTGTCAGTGGCAGTAGCAACTGCAGGAAGAGAGATTCCTCCCATGCCTACCCTATCCACCATCTCTTCTCTGCTTGCTGACCGCCGCGCCCTCTCCTCCTCTTCCCCCTCCCCCTCCCCTCGCACCACTCTCCCTTTCTCTGCTGCCTCTCCTCGCCCGCCCTCCGCTGCCCCTTCTAGACCTTCCTCCTCTGCTGCTCCAGCAACAACAGGAAGTGGAACAAGGGGAGGAGGCGGAGGAGGGATGATTGGAAGTGGGGGAGGAGGAGGAGGAGCAGGAGGAGGAGCGGGAGAAGGGGGAGGGGCAGGAGGAGGAGGACCAGGAGGAGGAGGAGGAGGAGGTACTGGTGAAGCGCCTGCCTCAATACGTCCTCCCCAACCCACAATCCCTGCCACGCTAGCTGCTGCTGCAGCTGTTCATGCCAGGACCCCCACTGGGCTTGCCCGTGCTGCTGCTGCCGCTGCCGCTTCTGCCACTGCACAATCAGCCATAGCAACAGCAGCAGGAGCAAGAGAAGTGGTTGGAATCCCTGAGCCTGCTTCACAACCAAAGGGAGTGCAAGGAAGGAGGGAGGAGGGGGAAGGGGTGAGTGTGGGAGCAGGTGCTGCTAGCGGGGCTGGAAAGCAGGCGATGCGTGCGGGGAATGCTGGTAGTGCTAAGTCTGCCGGTGAAGCAGGGGTTGATTTGGAGCACAAAGCGGCAGGTGGGAAAGACGGCAGCCTTGGGGATGCTGCTGGTGGTAGTGGAGTTGAAGGTGCAGGAGGAGGTGATGAGAAAGAGCAGCAGGAGAAGCGGAGCAGACCAGCAGATCTGGGGAAGGAGAAGACGGCGGGAGCAGGGACGGTGAGCGGGGAGGATAGAGAAGGGGAAGGAGCTGCGAGGGATGCAGTCAGAGGGGCAGGAGTGCAAGGTGCTGCAGGTGGGGGGGTTTCTAGCCATGCTGGTAATGCTGGCGGCAGTGGTGGTGGCGACAGGAGTGTCAGTGGTAGCAGCACTGCAGCAGGTGATCCAGCCTCTGTCGAGCCTGCTGCTAAGAGGCTCAAAGGGGCCCATGATGCATCCACGCCTCCTCCCTCTCACACTCCACCCTCTTCCGCATCTGCTGCTGCCGCAGCAGCTTCTGCTCCTGTCACCCGTGGTGGTGCTTCAGGTGATGCTTCAGGTGATGCTGGTTCAGGTGTGGTTTCAGGTGGAAAGCCACGTGCGCCCATGTCGATGACAGCTGTTTTGGCTGCAGCCAAGTCTCAGGCCGGGGTTGCATCTGGATCGGCAAGCAGGACAGGAGGGCAGCCTACTTCAGCAGCAGCAGCTTTGGCGGGAAAAGAAGACACGCCAAAGGAGAAGGTAGGGGAAGGTGTTAGAATGAGAGAAAAGCTGGGGGAGAGAAGAGAGGTGGGGGGTGCAGGGGGGAAGAGCGTGCGAGACAGGGAGAAGGAGAAGCGTGCTGTGGAGAAGGCAGGGGGAGGCAGAGCAGGGTGCACCGGTCACAACAGTAACAACAGTAGCAGCAGCGGCAACATCAGCGTCCGGCTTGCTTTGTCCTCTGCTGCTCTGCACTCTCCACAGCTGCTCCCTCTCCTCCCACTGCTCCCTGGCGGGTCTGCCTCGCAGGCAGCGCCACCAACCAAGGAGGAGCTCTCTGCTGTGGTCTCCTCCCTGCCTGCCAGCCACGCTGCTGCCGCTGCTGCTGTCGCTGCCGCCGCCGCTGCCGCTGCTGCTGGAACTACCAGTGGTAGGGGTGCTGGCAGTGCAGCTTTAGCAGGAGCAGGAGGAATAGGAGGAGGAGCAGGAGGAGGAGGAACAGGAGGAATAGGGAAAGCAGGAGCACGGGGAGTGGAACCTAGCTCTACTGGAACTGCTGTGACACCCCTCTCCTCCCCCACGCCACCCCGTCTCCCCACTCTAGCACCTCATCCCAATGTGCGTCCTCCTTTCACACCATCCTCTACTTCCACCCCATCTACTGCTGCTGATGCTTCTACTGCAATTGCTGGTGCTGCCGCTGCTTCTACAAATAATCAGGTGGGAGGTGCGACAATGGCTGCAATGGATAAGCAGCAGCAGCAAGCCACGTCTCCAGTAGCTGGTGCTGCCGCAGGAGCAGCAGGGCGAGGCGGGGGGGTAGCAGGAGTAGCAGGCAGTGGGGGGCAGCGTAGGGTCCTCACGTCCCCATCGCCCCCTCCCATCCCGCCTCAGCTCTTGGCTCGAGCCCCTTCAGCCCGACAAGACATCACCCCGCTGTCTCCAAATCTCCCCTCTCTCGCCTCCCCTCCCCCTGCTGCCTCTGCCTCTGGCCCTCCCTCTTCATCTACCCCTGCCTCTGCCTCTGCCTCTGCTCCTGCAACTACTGCGGTAACCTCATCACACCGCGCTGCTAGTCCACGCCCTAGTACTCCCAACCCTACTCCCAACCCTAACCTGAACCCTGCTGCCATTCCCGCCTCAGCAGCCCCTCTCTCCGTCTCCCAAGCAGCAACTGCAATGGCTGCAGCGGCAGCAGCAGCGCTCGGGAATACGTCTTTCAAGGCTGGACTGCCGGCTCGTGCTCCTGCTGCTGCTTCCGCTACTGCTGCTGCCGCTTCTTCTGCTGCAGCTGCCACTGCCACTGGATCTAGTTCCTCAGCTGCTGCTGGGGCTGCAGCAGGAGCATCTGGATCTGGATTGACTCAACTTACCAGCATTTCCCCTGCAGCTGCTGCTGCCATGGCTGCAGCTGCCGCTGCCACTGCAGGCCGGCTCACCCCGCCACCTCTCTCCTCGCTCTTCCCTCCTCTGCCACTCCCTTCCGCTGCCGCCACTGCTGCTGCAGATGCTGCTGTATCCTCCCTTATCTCCGCGTCAATGACAGGGGTCGGAGCAGCAACCCTCCCGGCCTCCATGTCTCCCTTCTCCCTCATGCTGCCACCCAGCTTGGCTCCCCATTTGGCCTCTCATGGAATAGCCGCCGCTGCTGCTGCAGCAGCAGCAGCAGCAGCAGGAGCAGGAGCAGGAGGGCCAGGAGGACCTGGAGGGTCAGTGCTGCTGCCCCCTGGGTTTCCGCACCACATGATGCACCTGCCGCACCCAGCAACACCGCATCCTTACTTCTTCCGCCCGCCCAATCCCGCTGACCCTGCTGCTGCTGCCGCTGCTGCTTCCGCCGCTGCTGCTGCTTCCCTGTTTGCCTATGGGCTTGCCCCCGCGCCCTTCCTCCACATGCCCCCTGCCGCTGCTGCTGCTGCTGTCGCCGCTGCTGCTGCTTCTGCCGCTGCTGCTGCTTCTGGGGGTGGTGGGGGTGCTGGTGGCGGTGCTGGTGGCTTGGTTGGGTCTCTGACAGGAAACTCTAAGGATGTTGCTGCGGCAGGAAGCGAGGGCGGTAGAGCAGGTGGAGACAGTCGCGAGGGGAAAGGCATGAGTGGGGAGCGAGGAGGAGGAGGAGGGGGGGAAGGAGCATCAAGGGGTATGGGAAGGCAAGCAGGAGCGGGGGGAGCAGGGGCTACAGGCGGTGCAGGGGGAGCAGGGGGAGCAGGGGGGGCAGGAGGAGAAGAAGGGGGAGGAAGGGGAGGAGGAAAGAGGGAAAGTGAGGGTGATGGTGGTGGGCGTGCGGCTGTGAAGCGGCCATGTGTGGATTTGAACGGTGAGGCCAAGGCAGACAGTGAAGAGAGTGGGGAAGCGGCGGATGGAGAGAAGGTGGGTGTTGTGAGGGAGAGAGAGAGGGGGAATACAGGCGCTGCGGCTGCTGCTACTGCTGCGGGTGCTGATGCTGCAGGGGCGGCTGCTCCCTCTGCTGGGACCACAGGCGTGTCACTCATGTCATCCACATTCCCGGCCCACACCACGCTTATTTCCGGCCCTCACGGCACTTTAATCCCTTGGCCGCTTCAATCCCTGTCTGCTGCTACTACTACTGCTTCTGCTGCTGCTGGTGCCACCACTCCTCTTGCTCTCTCTCCCGAAACACTAGCTTCCGCAGCAGCAGCGGCAGCTGGTCTACTCCTGCCGTCGCTGTCTACTGCTGCAGGCGCTCTTGCTTCTGGCGGCGCCGTTGCCCACCCACTCGTTCCATTCCTCCCAGGCGCCCTGCCGCTGCAAGCCTGCTCGCTGCCCGTGGATGCGTCTGGTCTCACCAAGCGAGGTGCGGAGGCCGTGGGAAAGCAGCTTGCAGGTCTCGTGCTGGGAGTGGGGGCTTCGCCCCTCAGAGCTGCTGCTACTGGTGGTGGTGGTGGTGGTGGTGGTTTCGAACGGGAAGAGGGTGGAACGGAATGGGAGGGAGAAGTAGGGGATGGGGGAGGGGAAGGAGAACGGGGAAGGGGTCTTGGGGAGACGAATGAGGGGACGAGAGGTGAGAAGGAACTGGGTGCAGATGAAGATGCGGGAGGGGGAGGAGGAGGAGGAGGAGGAGGAGGAGGAGGAGGAGGAGGAGGAGGAGGAGGAGGAGGAGGAGGAGGAGGAGGAGGAGGAGGAGGAGGAGGAGGAGGAGGAGGAGGAGGAGGAGGAGGAGGAGGAGGAGACGGTGGGGGAGGCGGAGGGGGAGGCGGAGGGGGAGGGGGAGGGGGAGGTGGGAGTGGTGGTGCGGAGGGGGGAGAGGGAGAGGGGAGGGGGGAGCAAGATGCGGTAGTGAGTGTGCCGATGCGTGCTGTGTTCCGGTACTGCCTGGAGGGGCCGTGGGCACGTGCAGAGTTTCTCAAGGCTGTGGTGGGGCGCGTGGGGCGCGAGGAGATTGCTCGCATGGGCAGTAGGGTGGCTGAGATCACAGGGTGCCGACACCAGGGGTGAGTGCCTCTTGACTGGTCTGACTGGCCTGACTGGCTTCACTGGCTTCACTGGCTTCACTGGCTTCACTGGCTTCACTGGCTTCACTGGCTTCACTGGCTTCACTGGCTTCACTGGCTTGACTGGCTTCACTTGCTTGACTGGCTTGCCTCAGTTGGGTGTTGTGATAGGGAAAGGGCATGGGTGAGATGAGAGTGGGAAGAGTCGAGAGTAAGAGTGAGGGAGAGGCGTATGGAAATGGAATGATAGTGCCTCGCTCTTACCACCATTCTGCCTTTCTGCTTCTTCCATTCCTTAATCACCTCTACTCCTCTCCCTTCCGGCCTTCCTCTTACCTCCCCCACTCCCTCCATCCACCTGCTGCCCCGGTTCCCCTGCTGCTGCTCGGCTCTCACCCATTCCCTATTTTCTGCATGCATCCGCCACCCTCTGCATTCTCCCGCCTTCTGCATCCCCAACCTGTGCCAGCGACCAAGTGGGCATGGCTTGGGCGCTGCTGGGGGAGGAGGCGCGCATATGGCAGGCCATAGCAGGCGGGGCGGGCACGGGCACGGGTGCATGGGGCAGGGCATGCCAGCACCTGGAGGCAGCGCTGCTGCAGTCCCTGGGCAGCCTCGCCAGGCGGTTCACTCTCAAGGTCTGCTTTCTGTCGCTGTTACTGCTGCTGGCGGCGTCGCTGCCGCTGCTGGTGCTGTTGCTTTTGCTGCTGCTGACGGCCACCACTGCTGATTGTGCTTGCATCTTTCCTCTCTCCCTCCGTCCCTCCGTCCCTCCGTCTGTCCGTCCGTCCATCCGTCCATCCCGCCCCCCCCCCCACCAGGACAAGGAACACCTGCAGCGAGTGGCAGGGTGCGGGGACACAGTAACGCGGGAGCAGTGGGAGCGCGTGTGGCGGTGGTTCTACCCTCTCGTGCTTGCTCTCTCGCGCCCGCACTTGCGCCCGGCGTGGCTGTCGCTCTCACCCCTGTGGATCATGGGCTCTGTCACCAGGGACGAGGCAGAGACTCTGCTGCTGGAGAAAGCGGTGAGAGGGGAAGTGAGTGAGACGGGGAGAGGGGAAACGATTGAGATGGGGAGAGGATGGGAGGATAATTGGGGGAGGGGAGGGAGGAGGAGAGTGGAAGGGGGGGGAGTGGGGGGCGTGCTGGGATTCGGAAGTGGAGGGAGTGGGGATGAGGAACAGCGGGTGGTTCGTTGGGGCAGTGGTCCATCCGTCTGTGGATGCTTTGCAGTGCAAGTAGTGTGGTGTGGTATGGTGGTGATAGTTCGTTGTGCAGGGCGTTCGTTCAAGCTCTTGCATTCTTTGAAGTTGAATTGAAACCTTCAGGGCTTTCAGCATACTGTTGTAGTGTATCGTATCCAGTCTGCTGGTACGCCATAAGCTACTGCTGGTTGCCTCCTCGAATTATGCCCCCCCCCTCTGTCCCAATCCCTTCATCCGCAGTCTTGTGTCCCTCCCCTGTCGTCCTTATCCCGTCCCTCCTTCCCCTCCCTCCCTTCCCTCTTTTCCTACTCCAACCCTCTCCCTCGCCTCCCTTTTCCCGTATCCTCCCAACTCAACCCCTCCTTTTCCCTCTCGCTTCGCCCTCGCTTCGCCCTCCCTTCCCCTCACCCTCCCTCCCCATTCCCCTCCCCCTGTCCCGCCCATCCTGCATGCTGCTCTCCCCAGCAGGCGGAGGGCCCATCGCCCCCCTCCTCTGCCTGGTACCTCGTGCGCTTCCCCTCGCCCGCCACTGCATGGCCACACCCCGATGCGGGCTCGCTTGTTGTCAGCTTCACTACCACCCAGGGGGCGATGCAAGCAGGGGGGGCAGCGGCAGCAGGGGGAGCAGGGAGCGGGGGGGCAGGACCAGCAAGAGGAGCGGAGGCAGGGGTGCGTGTGCAGCACAGGCTGCTGTGCCTGCATGCTGATGCTGATGCGGCTGGGTGAGTGCCTGCCTGGCATTGCATTGCTTTATCTTGCAATTCATTGCATTGCGTTGTGCTGCATTGCATCGTGTATCAGAGGAGGTTTCTGAACTGCCCAAATGTCAGAAGCACTGTCTGTCAGCCACCAAGAGAGGATAGTACAGCACAGCACCCTCTCCGTAACACCCCCTCCCCCCCCCCCTCCCCCCTTGTGTTCTCCCTACCCTCCCGTTTCCCTGCTCCCTCCACCAGCCTATCACCTGATGCCACGTGTCCTCCAGACAGGCCCCTCCCACACCTCCTCCAATCAGAGCCCCAGCTAGGCCAGCTGCTACCTCCCCCACCTGCACCCTCCCCCTGGGCTCTCAGTGAATGGGAGTCCGCTGCTGCTCTCCCTCCCCCTCCCCACCTCATCCTCCCCCTCCCCGCTCCCCCCTCCTTATCTGAGGGGGGGGATGCTGGCACTGCTGGGGGAGTGCGGGAGAACGTTGGGGGGACGCTTGGGGGAGGGATGGGAGCTGGGGTGAAGAGAGGAAGGGAGGAGCGGAAGGGTGCGGGGGAAGGAGAGGGGGAAGGAGAGGGGGAAGGGGATGGGGATGGAGGGGGGTTTGCTGAGAAGAGAAGGAAAACGAGTGGGGGAGGGGGGAGAGGGAGAGGCAGGCGGAGACGAGGAGGGGAGGAAGATGGGGCAGGTGGTGTGAATGGGTATGGGAGGGGAGAGAGCAGAAGAGGACAAGAGAAGGAGAATGAGATGGGGGGAGAGAGTGGAGGAGGATATGGACAGGGGAGGATGGAGGTGGATGAAGTGGAGGTGGGAAATGGGACGTTGGGGGAAGAGAGGGAGAGTTATTTGGGTCATGTGGATGGCTCATCTGTGGGTAACAGCTTAGCTAGTGCTTCTGCTTCTGCTTCTGCTGCTGCTGCTGCTGCTTCTGCCGTTGCTGCTGCTTCAGGTGCTGCCTCAGGTGTTTCTGCGTCTCCACAGTCTGCTGGACCCGATCTTGCCTTCCCCTGCCTCTCCTCTTTCCTAGTGCCTGCTCCTGAAGCTGCTGCGATCGCTGCTGCCTCTGCCGCTGCCCTTGCTGCAGCGGTTGCAGCTGCTGGATCTGCTGCTGCTGCCTCTCCCTCCCCTGCTCCCTCTGCTGCACGCCCCACTTCAACCAATTCCGCTCCGCTCTGGTCCTCCCTCCCTCATCCTGCTCCTCCTCTTGCTCCTCGTTCTCACCACTCTCCAGTCCCTCCACTTGCATCGTACCAGTCTGCAGCAACGCAGTCTGCAGGAGCAGCAATGGTACCACCACCACCACCACCAGCAGCGGCGGCGGCGGTGGCAGCAAGCAGACTCCACCCGCCTGCCATGCCCAACTTCCGAGTCCCTCCCTCTCTTGCCGCCACTCCGCCACCGCCCATTCCTCATTTGCCAACCGCTAATACCTCCTCTGCTGCCTCTGCTGGCACCCCTGCCCCTCCTGCTGGCCATGTGCCCCTGCGTGCCCCTGCTCCCACTCCCCACTCTGCTTCTCCCTCAGCCACCTCCCTGGCAGCTTCATATGCCAACTCTGCTGCAGTAGCCCCCTCACACACGTCCCCCGCCCCACCCACGGCCACCCGCATTCCTGCTTCGCCAGCAACAGCAGCGGCGGCACTCTCTTCTGCCCGCCCTGGCTCAGCTCCGGTTCCTCCTCCCCATCTCTCTTCCTCTCACCCTGCTCCCTCACACTCCCTCCCGCCCACAGCCCATCCTCATGCCTCCTCCACGCGCCCACCCAACAGCATCCCGCTCCCCGCGCACCACTCCTCGCTCTCCTCCCTCAAATCCCACCCCCTCCCCTCATCATCTTCTTCCACCTCAGCCCAGCAGCACGAGCTGTCCTGGCCCTTAGGTCCTCCCATTCTCTCCTCCATCCCTCCCCTGCCACCCTCCCTCCCCAGCCATACCCTCGCTGCTTCCCTTGCCTCTTCGACCTCTTCTCTAGGCCTGCACCTCGCCTCGCCCTTTCCTCTCAACTCCACCTCTGCCGCAGCGGCAGCAGCTGCGGCTATGGCTGTTGCTGCTGGCATGCCTACCCCGCTGCCCCTCTCCAGGTCCTCTCCCTCTCCTGCAACCCATGCAGTAACAGCAGCATCTGGAGGCGGAGGTGGAGGAGGAGGCGGAGGAGGAACAGCAGCAGCAGCCGCAGAAGCAGCAGCAGGTGCAGGCACAAGAGCAGCAGAAGGAACTGCAGGAGCAGGAGCAGGAGGGGGCAACACTGCTTCTCGCAAGCAGTACAGCTCGCTCTTTGCATCAACCATCTTCTCCACTCAACCCCATGAGCCTGGAGCCACTTCCACTGCCGCTGCTTCTGTTGCTGCAGTGGCAGCAGGTGCAGCTGCAGGTGCAGCCTTCCACGGTATGACTTCCCCCCCTGACAGGCCTCGTCCAACCATTGCAGGTGCAAGTGGTGCAACCCATTCTGCCCCTCCACTCGCTGCTTCCAGGACCGCGGCAGCGCCCTCCCTCTCCCCCACCCCTCCCCGCCCAAGCCTCCTGTTCGGGGCCGACATAAGTGCTGCACCGGCACCAGCAGCGGCAGCAGCAGCAGCAGCTGCTGCTCCAGCTGCTGGAGCAAGGGTGATGGCAGGGAAGGTTGCAGCTGCAACAGGTGCTTCTGGGGCCAAGGTAGCAGCGTCTGGTGCAGTGCCTGGGGTTAGGACGTCTCCCTCCCCCATGCCTGCTGGGGCTTCTGGTAGAATCTCCCCTTCTCCCTCCGCCAGAGTGCCTGGCGCTGGAGGAGCAGCGCAAGAGGCCTTTCCTGAGCAAGGAGCAACTGTGAGAAGACGAGCACATGATGCAGCTGCTGTTGCTGCTTCTGCTCCTGCTTCTGCTGCTGCTGCTGCTGCTGTTGCTGGCAGTGGTGGTGGTGGAGGGGGTCGAGAGTCTAGGGGAAGAGGAAGGAGAGGAGGAGGGGGCGGTCGGAAGGAAGGTGGTCGAGGTGGAGTAATGATTGGGCAGAAGCTGGTCAGAAATTATGAAACCAGAGACGGGGGCAAGCGTCTGGTTCTTGACTTGGAGTTTGTTGCTGCCCCGAACAAAGATAGAGCTGCAGTTATTAGTGCGGTTGCACCGGGTAACACAGCAGCAAGTGCTGCCTCTGCTCCTGCATCTGTTTCTGCTGCGTCTGCACCTGCTGCCGTGCCTAGTGTCGCAGCAGCTGCTGGCTGGTTACATGGAGCCGCTTCTGCTACTAATGATGAATCCAACTCTACGGTGGGTGGTCAGCAGAAACAAAATTGATCAATTGTCAAGAGAAGTTTTATTGCGAGTGGATAACGTACATGAATTACGTTAAAACAGGGCAGAACTTTGGATGTCTTGGTTCCTTGCGATCTACTTGACCTGCTTGAGTGACTTCGGATTTAGTTGAAGTCTAGATATAACAGCTGAGCTGGTTCGGACAAATCCATGACCTTGTAACGAATCTTGCTGGTAGCAGCTGGCCCCTTCATATCCCTTCTTCCGTTTCAATCTACAGTTGACGTTCACTCGATGTCCTTTCCCCCACACTACAGCTGTCCCATTTGCCCAGTGAGGAGGGATAGGCCAAGGTACACTTTCAGCCATGCAACTGCTCCCCAATGAGCTCTGTGCACCTGGTTTCCACGTCATATTTCTCCTAATCATCATCTCTCCAGCTCGCCTCTGGCATTTGACACCACACCTTCGAACACCAGTGTCAAGCCATCATTCTGTCAGCAAAATCTATGTTCGAGTGCGCGATTTGTCTGCTGCAAATGGAACTGCTTCTGTGGCTGTACTTTCTGTGATAACCAGCACAGAAGCTCCCCCCAACATCGACTTTCTCGTCGCTCGCTTTCGCAATACTGTAACGTTCGCCGTCCAAACCGCCAAGACCACCACCCACCCAGAGAGAGTGAGTGGTGCGGAGTGCGGACGGGAAAGGGGAACAGGGGAAACCCAGTGCCTACCTTCACAACTCCCCTATCAATCTCCCCGTGTCCTCCTTCCCCGCAAATTTTCACTTCACATGTTCCGCTCCCCTCCCCACCTACAACCCCTGGCCCCCAAAACCCCGTTTCATAGCCACTGAGCCTAGTGTACACCCTCTTTCTCAGCCTTCTTACCTTGCGCGACTCGACGCTACAGTACTTGTCTCTTGCGATCTGGTGCCATTAAACGTTCCTAGCAATCTGGGGGGGAAAACCGAACCACGTGACAAACTGGCTCAAGGGCGTAAAAATTCCGTAATCGCTGTATACCCTTCTCAACCCAAAAAAAAGCTGACAGAGCTTTTCGTAAAGTTCATCACCTCACCTAACCGTATTCTTCGCTTTGTGCTTGTACAGTAGGTGACAAGATCATTCTGAACGTGGTGACGCTCTACAACCCGTGTATGTTCTGCAAACAGATGCTCTACTGGCGCGAAAGAAGGTGTATCACATGTATCATGACCTGAGTGTACGGTACACTTCCGAACGACTTGGTTACGGATATTAAAGCAGAGTCATTGCGAGGCCAACCGAAGCAAAAGCCCCAGAAAGCTGCACACACCCCCACGCATTTTGCCCGAAAGTGTGGAACTGTGAGGGGGCCCTTGAGTTCACGCTTTTGGCAGTCTGTTCCTTCCTGGCTTTCGCTATCTGCCCAGTCCGTGGCACAAGAGATTACATTCAGGCAGGCTGTACCACCACCACTTCAACAGCATCACACTATTGGTTGGAAAGCGACTTCGAGGCGAGAAACGACTTAGTTTCCCAACCTTACCTCCAAGATTTCTTCTCTAAGGTCATGTCCGCCGGTGCCTGCACCAGCAGCAGCAAGGCTCACCTCACCACCACCACCACCTCGACCACCACTTGGCAATCTCTTGCAGCTCGACATCGACTCGTCAGGGACGTTCCATTGCCGCAGCGATTATCTACACCCAGTCGAAAGTAACTCCCTGCTTTAAGCCACAGCGGGAGTGTTTATATTCGCAAGGCGGCCATGGCTGATAATGAGCGTGTCGCCGAGGTAAGATGTCTTGCCGGAGCGCACTTTTCCACCAGGCCGCAGCAGGCGGAGTCCGACGATCTACTTCTCGAGCAGCTGTCGGCGCTGTCTGTACACATGCAGCAGCAGCTGCGACAGCAGGAGCAGCAACAGCAGCAGCAACAGCAGCAACAGCAGCAACAGCAGCAGCAGCAGCAGCAGCAGCAGCAGCAGCAGCAGCAGCAGCAGCAGCAGCAGCAGCAGCAGCAGCAGCAGCAGCAGCAGCAGCAGCAGCAGCAGCAGCAGCAGCAGCAGCAGCAGCAGCAGCAGCAGCAGCAGCAGCAGCAGCAGCAGCAGCAGCAGCAGCAGCAGCAGCAGCAGCAGCAGCAGCAGCAGCAGCAGCAGCAGCAGCAGCAGCAGCAGCAGCAGCAGCAGCAGCAGCAGCAGCAGCAACAGCAGCAACAGCAGCAACAGCAGCAACAGCAGCAGCAGCAACAACAAGAACAACAGCAGCAGCTGTGCGAGGAAACGTCTCGACATTCACAATCGCAACCGCCGCAATTCCCTCTCAGCACGCCGCCGGAACCACCCTCTAAGATTGAATCCCAAACACCGCTCTCCTCTCTGCACCCTCCCACTTCCTTAATTCCGCGCCACGCGGACGATATCTTCGCTTCACCTCCGCATCTCCGTGCATGCATGAGCCAGCCCTCTCTCTTGCCCTCCGACGCCTCTTTCTCCCCCCAGCTCTCCGCATCACCTCACAACCAGCTCGCGCGCCTTCACCCGCACACACCTCCGCAACCCCACTTCCGCGCAGCCCCGTTTGCGCGAATTGAGCACGACGGGACTCCGCTCCTCAATTGGAGCTCCGAGGCCCCAATTCCGCATATCCCCGGCCCCGCGCCACCGCCTGCACCGGGCGATGGAGCGCCGAATGCCTCTATCGCGCACGCCTTTCCGCCCATCCAGGGCTTCGTATCCCCTACGACTCTTCACTCGCCTCGTCACTTGCAATATCTCAGCCCGCCTCACCACCGCCAGTCACGCTCGCCGCACGATAATCCTCCTTCGAGTTGTTTTCAGCCGCACGATCATGATGGAGAGGCGGAGCCGCGGCTTATCAAGATGGGCTCCGACCCCGGCAGCTGTAGCAGCGGCGGTTGCGGCGGGGGGTGCGGGAACGGCGGCGGAGGCATTTGCTGCTGCAGCACGAGCAGCGGCGGCGGCAGCGGGGCTAGCGGGGAGGCGCAGCTATGGGCAGAACACTGGGGCGGGGGAGAATGCGGGCCGCGGAAGGGGATTCGCCGAGTGCAGTCGGAGGTGCCCTTTGCGCCATCGGCGGAACAGCGCCAGGCGCCCATAGGCGGGCACTTCTACGCGGAACGACCTGGCGGCGCTGCGGGCGCGGGGGGAGAATTCGCGCGCGCTGGCGGAATGGCGAGGCGAGGTGCGGGGAAAGATTCGGGGAGGAACGCGGGGATGTTCGGTCCGCAGCCCCTGACGAGCTTCGGCGGAGCGGGGTTTCTCCAGACCGTTGAATCGTCCTCGCTCTCGCTCTCCCTCTCCCGCTCCTGCAGCAGCCTGGGCGTCGCAAGTGACAGCGCAGAGGGCGGCGGCAGCGGCAGCGGCAGCGGCATTGAGAGAGGGGAGAGGGATAGCGAGGCGGACATGGAAGCGGAGTCGACGTTTAAGCCGCTGCCCCGCCGCAAGCTGCCGTCCCTCGCTTCTGCTTCTGCTGCTTCTTCTGCTGATGCTGTCGCTGGTGCTGGTGACGGTGCTTCTGGCGCTGGGCTTACGAGACAGTAAGTCGTCGGATTATGTTTATGTTTCTCGCGGCGTCATTCCGAGTTGTCACGCACACGCGTCGCTGCGTGCTCCCTGCCCCTTCTCACATTTAGAATCAATTCGCGCCCCCTCCCCCTCTTTCCTCGCACAATCCCACGATCCCTGCTTCAAATATTTCAGCTCGTAACCATAATCTCACCTCTTCCCTCCTCTCCCTTCGCTCCCTCGCCTCTCCCCTTGTCTCTCCCCGCGTGCCTTCCCTTCCCTCCCCCTTCTCCTTGGCCCTGCGCGCATGGCAGGAAGGGGCTGTCGGCATTCATAGGGGGCAAATCGCGCTCCTTCACGTCGCTCGCTGACGTGGCAGCCATCCGCTCCATGAGCGAACTCGCCAAGCCGCTGCGCCGCACGCCGCTGCACACGCGCGCGCTGCACCTCTCCGCGCGCCACCGCCGCCAGCGCCAGCGCAGCAGCCCGCACGCGCACGCGCACGCGCACGCCCGCGCATATGCTGACGCCCACGCGCACTCCCGCGGCGCCCCCTCGTCCTCCTCGTCTCCTTTCTCGTCGTCGCTACCTCCGCTCGCGTCGTCCTTCCCCGTCCCTGGCGGCGTAACCGGCAGGCGCCCAGCGGGAGGCATCAGCAAGCGCACTGCAGCGCCGCTACAGCCGCGCGCCACGCTGGCGCTGGCTGTAGCCCTAGGGGAACTGGGGGACCTGGGGGGCGTGGGGGAACCGGGGGGATTAAGGGGGTTGGGGGAGTTGGGGGAGGCTGGAGGGCTTGAGTGCGGCGGGTGGGATGCCAACAGGGGGGAAGCGGCAGCAGGGGGATTGAGGGCGGGTGGCGGTGGTGGTGCTGCAGCCGGGTTTAGGGGGAGTGGAGGAGGAGCAGCAGCAGTTGCTGCTGCTGGAGGGATATGCGGTGGGATGATGGGATTGGGAGGTGGTGAGTGGGAGGTGAGGGATATGTGTAGAATGGAGACTGTTCCAGAGTAAGGGACGTGATCTGAGGATGTGTGGTGTGGTGTAGCAAGCCTTGTCAAGAGTGTCTCGGGGTTTGGTGGCTGACGCGAGGCGAGATCTGCTCAAAGCAGGTCAGATTTACGTAGCGCCAGCAGCAGGCAGCAGCAGCAGCGGCCATCAGCAGCCGTAGCAGCAGCGCTAGCAGCAGCTGCAGCGGCGGTGGCGACGGTGCTGCCACCACTTGGAGTTTTCCTTGCGTCTCGGTTCATTGTTGTGGCTCAAGGTCTGCCCTCGTGGAGTGCAGCAGCTGGAGTGTCTGTGGGGGGCTTATTGCTATTATGTCATGTGCCATGGCATAAGATGCTGCAATGGCACATGGCATAGAAAAACAATGGTTTCAAGCAACAGCAGCACATCACCTGTTTACTACGGAGAAGTGCACTTTCTCCATTGGTGGATGGGTTCTTTTTCCCTTTCACTCTTGCTGAAAGGTCTTCTTACTTCAGCTCAACATATGTGGAGCGGATTCTGTATGTCCTTGCCTCGTCTCCTTACCTTCGCACCTCTTCTTTGTTTGGTCAAGGCATTTGTTAGCTCAGGCCTACCTTCCCAACTGGGAATGTGACTGCAGCAGCAGCAGCAGCCCTGTGGACAATATTCTTTCAGGTTCCCACGATGCCAGCTGCAAGACACATGATACCCACAAGACGCTAGCTGCCACTTGCATCCTGCTCCTGCTTCATCCCCATACTGTGCTCTAAGTCATGTAGTTTGGCACTTGCTGCAGTTGGCTACCATATGTGAGGGGCTACTGCTCGAGTTCGTGATACGTGTAAGCATTTCTTTGTCTGTTTCTGCTGCTTGGCTGCTCCAGCAGCAAATCATCAGTACCCTACTGTTGTAGCCCGTGCATGTTCATGCACTTGGCAGGGCTAGTCATGAAAAGCAGTTTGCTTGTATGATCATTTTGTAAGTTTCTATTTCATATGTTAGGATTTTTCTGAAAGCTAGCATAGTGCTGGTCATACTATAGTAATTTAAATGAAAGTATGTCCTGTCCATGTGGCACTTAGAATACCGTACCATGTTTGAAGAAAGGCAGTGTGCTTATCACATTATGTTGTACCGGTAATTGGGCAGATGTGTGGTGTAGACCAAACAGTGTATTACAACGGAAGTCTTGGAATTGGAACAGACATGCAGATTGAACATAGATGGCAATGTGCTGTGGCCATGTATGTATGGTCTGTATGCATTCCTTTATGACAATGTTCTGTGGTCTATGAAAAAAAAAAACAAGAGGCGACGAAATCGTCGTAGGGTTGCGAAACTGTTTTGCAAAAACACATATTTTATTTAGTTTAGTACTTATACATAACTTGATACTTGGAACTTAAATGTTGTTTGTTCTGTATGGGTTTGTAAAATCGTTGAACTAAGTATTGAACTCTACACCTTCTGATTATGGGATAAACTAAATGATTACGACAGACGTGCTATATAAATTATGTAATAATTGTTTTGATCAATTCAAAAAAGACGTTTGTAGGTTCAAAACCGACTCTCACGTGTTCCGAACCTGCAACCTCCCGATTGCTCAACTATTTTCTACCGTCTGCACTGTTGGGAACAAAAAGCCTTAAGCGCTTATGTCGTGTCGAAACTTCAAGACACAAGCGAAGCAGCGCAAATCGAAGCACCAGCGAGTCAACCCTCGGAGTTGATGTAACCGCTGGAGGTTACGAGAAAGTCAAAGGTCAGCGACCTTTGACTTGACAAATGCAGCGCGACAGCAAGGACACACAACTGAATCGACATTGAGCAGTTGCCCGAGTCGCACTGTATCGAACCGCAACAGTAAAGTAGTTACAATTATGTCTCTTCATATTCTCTGTACTCATATATATATATATATTCTTGTATCCCTTTGTTTTAATTAACTTACTTTGCCCTCACATACTAGCGCAAGGTGGTTCAAGGACTTTATTCAAACGCTTCCGCTACTACATCGTTTACTCAAACTTTAACTCTACCAAAAGATCTTAGGGCGTTCAGCCCAACATGGTATGAGAGCAGGTTAGAGTTAATATTTTCTCTTCAACACTTAATACATCAAGAAGACATGTCTACTAGAAAGGAGAGGAGCTCCTCCAACGGCTCTCCCGGTACTACCCCTACTCCACCTCCTGCCTCTGGCCTACTAACAGAGGAAGGGACAACAACTAGACCAGCAGCTGGGTCTACGGAAACACCCGCAAACCAAGGCGCGGGCTTCGATCCAAGTATGATGGAGAAATTCTTCTCCTTCATGTCCTTCTACGAGCAGCATCAGCAAGGAGTACCTGCGCAATCAAACAACAGCAACAACAACAACAACAACGTGACGCCCATGAGTCTCGATGGCTCATCCTATGCAGGCGGGAATCAACATCAACAACCTACCTTCGCTCCGTACGAGCCCCAGCGCGGCTCCGTCAGCTTCATGCCACAACCACAACCTGCACCGGGACAAGAAAGAGCACTGGACGCACTACAATTTCAGTCGCAATTCGCGCATGTTCTGAAACTACAAACGACAAAACCTTTCGACGGGAAGGATTTCTTTACCTGGTCGTTCGAATTCGAGCTGATGATGGAAGGAGCGCAGATCCTTGGCTTCTTCGACGGGTCCCTGCCATATCCAACAAACGGCACACAGTATGAGAAGTGTCAGAATATTATAGCTTATGCTTTTGTGTAGGCTATAATGGGGTATCCCATAGGGGGTACAACCCAATCAGGGTTAGTACTTGTACCCACTTCACTCATAGTTCATTCAATTGAGAAAGCTTGCTTTCTGTTCTTGCAAAGGCAACGGGCTTCATTACAATTGCAGTAATACAACATTCTCGTCCAACTATTATGATATACAATATACGACTAGGGTGGGTGGGTGGGGAGTGGAACTGCAAAGTTCCGAAATGAAGTCGTGGGTGGAGGCCGAATGGCCTCCAACCCTCGTTATATACTCGGCGAATTGTAATTCGCCGTTGCTTTGCTTCGTTACAGGTAGCTGCGCTTTCACAATACGCATTTTTAGAAAGTGTTACACACTTTCGAAAAATTTCATATTGAGAAAGCTTGCTTTCTGTTCTTGCAAAGGCAACGGGCTTCATTACAATTGGGTCTTCTGAGACATGTGCGGTTGGGGCGTTGTAGACGCGGTGGGTGTGGTTGCGGTTGATGGTCGTCACGAAGTGACAAGAGAGGCGGTGTTGGCGATCGCGATTTCCAAGTCGATGACGTTTGGAATGCTGTGTGTGTGAAGGTTGCTCGATGGGTTGATGTGGATGTCTCTGTTTGTTGGTGCAAGAGGATACCGTAGTGGTACACAAATTTTGTCTTTAACTCCCAAAGGTCTATCCAAGTTCTTAACGAGTGGCGAGCTTGTGATTGCATGCAAGTCGTTTCACACGAATGGTTGTATTTCCTTGTTGGGTGCGATCAAACACAGTGGGATGTGTGCATGATGGCGAACACCGATCTCCTGCAGCATTGCTCTTATTTGGGGAAAACATTGAGTGCGGTGTATACCGGTAAGAGTGTGTGTGCACCACCGTAGTCAAGACAGATTCAGAATTCATATTGAGTTGCACTCTACCAACTGTTTGTAACAAGATCACTTAAAAGCAGTTGCTTCCTTGGAAGTTGGTGGGGCTCCAAACCAGCCTTTTTTTTTTTTTTTAAATAATTATTACCGTATACGATACATCAATAGCCAAGAATGATCCATCCATCCACTCAAATTTCAGCCCATCTTACGGTAAGGCCAGCATGGAGGCCTTCGGGTCCCTTCCCCCACTGGGACGGCTTTAAAGCCACACGAGGACCCTCGGTCCCCTTCCTCCCCTGGGGGACGGCTCTCAGGCCACACGAGGACCCTCGGTCCCCTTCCCCCTCTGGGGGACGGCTCTCAGGCCACACGAGGACCCTCGGTCCCCTTCCCCCCCTGGGGGACGGCTCTCAGGCCACACGGGGACCCTCGGTCCCCTTCCCCCCCTGGGGGACGGCTCTCAGGCCACACGGGGACCCTCGGTCCCCTTCCCCCCCTGGGGGACGGCTCTCAGGCCACACGGGGGCCCTCGGTCCCCTTCCCCCCCTGGGGGACGGCTCTCAGGCCACACGGGGACCCTCGGTCCCCTTCCCCCCCTGGGGGACGGCTCTCAGGCCACACGGGGACCCTCGGTCCCCTTCCCCCCCTGGGGGACGGCTCTCAGGCCACACGGGGACCCTCGATTTCATCTTTCCGTTCAAGGGCCTCCTTAGGTGTGCGTGTAGTTGATCGTGTCGTCGGTGCGATTTCCCAGCGCGACGAGCAGGGTCCCACTTCTTATAAACTTATTTCCCCAATCGTGGCGTTGAGCTCGTGTTTCTGCCATGAAGGGATTCACGGGGCATAGAGATTAATCGAGAGAAAACGCAGGTGACATGCTGAAAAACAATAATAATTAAAAAAAAGGAAATGAAATGCACTTGCAGCACTTATATGCAACTTATATGCACTGGCGCCAGTGGCGATTTCGTCCTTGGCGCGCGCCACTGGCGCCAGTGGCGATTTCGTCCTTGGCGCGCGCCACTGGCGCCAGTGGCGTTTTCGTCCTTGGCGCGCGCCACTGGCGCCAGTGGCGATTTCGTCCTTGGCGCGCGCCACTGGCGCCAGTGGCGATTTCGTCCTTGGCGCGCGCCACTGGCGCCAGTGGCGATTTCGTCCTTGGCGCGCGCCACTGGCGCCAGTGGCGATTTCGTCCTTGGCGCGCGCCACTGGCGCCAGTGGCGATTTCGTCCTTGGCGCGCGCCACTGGCGCCAGTGGCGATTTCGTCCTTGGCGCGCGCCAATGGCGCCAGTGGCGATTTCGTCCTTGGCGCGCGCCACTGGCGCCAGTGGCGATTTCGTTGCTGGCACGTGCCACTTGCGCGAGTGGCAGAAGCAATTTCGTCCTTGGCGCGCCAGTTGCAGTTTCTCCGGCGCACTTCGATCTCAGTTAGGCGCACGC